ATCAGTTAAGGCTGATACTACATTCAACCAGGTTTATCTTAAACCAGTTTCAGCCAACTTGAAACTGGTTTATGTGCACTGAACTTCTGTTCTGTTACAGATTTAAACCAGTTTCTGATCACTTAAACGAGTTTATGTGTAACTTCTGTCTCTGGCCCAGAAGTGCTGGAAAGTAAACATTTCCCAAATACCCCATAAGTAGGGACATGAGAGCAACTCAGTCTTGGCCCAAAGAGTCAATTATGCAGTCATTTCATGGTGGCCCCACCCCCTGTTCCTGATTGGCAGCGATGCCCCACCCCTTAGTGCTGATTGGCAGAGAGGCCCGTAGAGAAGGAGGGACAAGGGGGCGGCCACCTTCTTAACTGGTGGCTGCCCTTAGTGGAGCCCCATTCCTCGGCACTGATTGGCAGAGAGGCATGAGGGGGTAGCTGCCATCTTGGCTTCTTGCCCTTTGTGCCCCCACACCAGCTGGTGCTTTCCCTTCCCAGTGGGGCTGCGAGGCTGGGCCACAGTAGAAGCAAGGACTGCTGCCTCCCACTGGGGAGTCAACTTATTAAGTTTTTTTTCAGTTACTATCCTGGGAAATCATAGCCAATGCCATTTTTCCTGGCGATAGCAGAGATCACCATTTTTCAGGGTTTCTGTGAAAATTGCAAAACCACGATTTAGATGGGTCCCCATCCATTAGTAATAGGGGTACCAACAGGAGAAACTGGTAAATGGGGGCCATGTGATGCAGAGGTCGTATATTTGGACTGAGTCTCATCCTGGCTGTGTGGCCGGCTGAGTGACCTTGGGCTTTCCACATTTTGCTTCTCCCTCCTGTTCTCTCCCTCTTCTCTTCATGCCCTGGGTGTATGCACAGCACCCAGCCTGGCAGAGCCTTGACTCAACAAAGCTACAGTAACAGCAGTAATTAATCAGTTATGTTGCTGTAGGAAACCCGATCTTTCAGCCTGTGATGGGCAAAAGCAAGCGCTCACTTGCAGTGCCCAGCCTCTGTTTTAATGCAGCACTGTATTTCTGGGCTCAATTTTTTTGCAGACTCTAGAAGCTTGAATCATTTGGATAAAGATCAAATATTGTAGGTACCAATTCAAAGTGAATCAGATCCCTGGACCCTTTCTGCTCTGTCTCTCCATAGGTTTATTAGCCTGCATTTATCTCAGACTTTGCACTATCAAGGGACAAAAAGGAAGGGCTAGGAACCTTTATCTCTGACTTTTTCTAGCTCTTGTGGGTGGAAAGCTGACCCTCACCATTACCTTGGCAAAGCAAATTGCATGCTAATAAAATACACTCGTGCTCACTTCCTCCCAAATCAAACTCCATGCTAGCCCTGCGCACTGGAGAAGCTAATTCTCTTGGCATGCAATCCAATAAGGTAGGCACTCACTAAACTGCTTTCCCCCACTCAGGGAAAGGCCTTTCGTTAATTAGGAACCAGTGAATTATTGGTGCCTTTGCATAAACTTGCACATGGAACATCAGAAGGCCACTGGCTGTGTCCATATTTTATCAGCAGGCAGTGCTGTGCTACTGAGAAGCCAATTCTAGGTCAGCCATAAAAGGAATGGTTTTTTGCAGACCACATTACTGCACAAGCCGTGGAATATAAAACTACAATTTTTGTGTCTCCAAAGGATATTGATTTTGGGGTAACGCCTTCATCTCTTGCCCTTCACTTCTATGAGGTACTGATGAACTCAGCAATTTCAGCCGTAAGCCATTCCAGTGGGGATTCTAGCACCGGGCCAAGGAGGCATGTGGATGTTAACAATTCAGCACTGTGCCAGGAAGCCTGTGGCTATATAAGGATGCAGGAGTTCACCCTCTTCCAACGCCCTGAGATGGGACCAGAGCTGAATAAAGTGCGCTTGAGGGCTGGTGTGAGACTGGTGCGTTCTGGGTGGAGCAGATATGCATGGGTGTGTGTGAGACAGAGAGAGACACTGTGCTTGTGTTAGACCAAGAGGCCATGGACATGTGAACAGGGAGGTGGGCCTCAAGGCGTAACCCCAGCACTGATTGTAGTGAGAGCTGGGCACTGGATGGTATGAGATATGAGCAGCTTAGTGCTGGAAGGCAGCACTTGGAAGTGTGAGAAAATTGCCTCCAGCTCATGCTAGACTAGGGGGAAACTGCATGGTGGTGGGGGTAGAATTGAATAATGCATCTGCAGCTTTTTGCTACAAGTCAGGTCATCATGTGCTTGTGGTCCAAGGAAGCATCTGAGGGAGAGATGTTTGTGAGTATGAAAGAAGCAAACTTCTAATGCACACTTGGTTTCAGAAGAAAGGACACTGTATATGAGTGTGTTGCACTCACTTCCTCCTGAATCAAACCATAAGTGTAAGACAGTTTGTCGGGGGGGAGAAGGAGTTGGGGGGAGATAGGGTCAGAGGAGAGACAGAAATTCAAGGAGTGACCATGCCCACTTGCAACGCAGGCATGTGCTACAGAAGCAAATGGCTGCTGGTGACTGTTTAAATAGTATTGGGGGTGGTGACTAAGTGCGTGGCTGTAACCCCAAGCTTTTGTGCATGCTCACACGTCTTTGTGTGTATGCATGCATATAAGAGGGGCCTTTTTTCTCTCCCCCGGTGGCAGAAGAGAGGACATATGGAACTTGTGTGGGTCTGTACTACAAGGGTGAAAGCACATTATAAGGACAGGGTTCTCCAATGGCATAGAGCTCGCTCCTTTAGGTCTTTGCCGGGGGTTTCAGCGAAGGAATGCGACTGGAGAGGGCTGTGCAGTGTCTCTGCACTATTATACAGATCCCATGGTCATTCCCCGCTACAGACTGATGTAACAGCTATGGAGCAGCTCTGCTGATCTGCCCAGAGGTGGAGGAATTCCACCCTATTGCATGCAAGAGTTCCCCAGGCCCCATCATAGTCCCAGCCATGGGAGAGTTGCAGTAAACAGTGCCATGTTTAGCAATGCAGTGTGTGATGTCTCTGTGGGTGGATGCATGCATGCGCCCACGCATGCCCGCGCATTTGTACCTCATATGTGCAATGAATGTAATTACGTCCATCTTAGTAATTTGCTGACATGTGCCTATGGATGCATGTTATTTTGCTGCCTTCATACTCTGATGAGTGAGGCATGATGGATAGCAGATGGATTGATAAATAGACAGATAAATAGCCTCTTGGAAAATACTATGCGGTATTCTCACTGATAAGATGTTGCACTGATGGTGCTCTAAGAATGCCAACAGAAACGAGGTCTATATGCCTCTGTGTAAACCTGCAGTGGGCATATTTTCCATGCAGATGAGTATTTATGCATGCATGCACATTTCAACATGTGTGAGACCTGATCAACCAACTATATTGAGCCCTAACCTTTTTGGACAGCAAGAGCCCATATCCTAACATGTCAAGGTGCTTCTCACAGCCTTCTGGCCTTGGGTGAAAGTGGGGGCAGGAAAGTAGTAGGACTCTGTGTCCTCTCATCCCCTCAGTTCCATGGGTCAAGTACAGCTACCCCTACCCCCCTGGGACCAGGGACCTGCAAGCTTTCTCTACACCATTGGCGCTCACTCCTAGAAACAGCTGTCCGGAGCTAATTTATTTCCTAATGCTGCAGCAATGTTAATTTATAAATTACACTGGTAATTCAAGCTATTATTAATTTCAGATGGTGTAGGGCAAGCCTAATTAAAATATGACACCAATTGCCACACATATGTACCAAGGACTACCGTTTAAAATTTATAGGAATATTAAGTGTGACACTGGTCTCAGAGATGCTTTGCGCAGTAATTATAGCATCCCGGCTGCAGGAGATCTGATAAAGGCGATGGAGAGATTTAAAGGAAATAAATAAAAAATCCTACTCTCTTTCTGTTCAGGGGCTATTAAAAAGCTGGGTTTTTTTTTTCTTTCAAGGTCAAACTGATTTTTTCACTTGAAAAGGAGCAGTGAAATTGTACTCAGGGAAGGTTAGCAATAACAGGCTTATTTATGTATTTTTTTAATATCAGGTAGTTATAACTTATAAGCATGGCATTATCTTAGCCAGTGGCAGAGCTGGCTGAGCCACCTTTATTTACCCTGCCACCAGGGATATTTGGTGCATTTTTGGGATGCAACAGGAATGCATTGGGTTGATCTAGTGCCTGACCACAGTTCTCAGACTATAGCTTAACTTTCCATAGGAATATATTGGGGTGACCTGGTGCCTGGCCATGGCAGTCCAGACAACAAGTCAACCTGCCATAGGAATGCACAGGAGCCTAAGTCCCTGTGGTTCAGGGGTTGCTGCTCTTCAGCCAGCCCTGAGCTAATGCTTCAACATTGCATTTAAGGTCAGGTAAATCACTGAGCCTCTAAGTACTTAAGGCTGGGTTTCCTCAATAGAGTGCCACATCTACGTTCAGGACTGGGACTGGTTCCTAAGTCAGCTGGGCAGACTGGGCAGTGCTGCCGTGCTGGCAAGGGGGCAACCTCTAAAAACACAAACACAATCCCTCCACTTAGACTGTGTGACTTGGGCAAGTTGTCCTGGGCTCCTGGAGAAAGGGGTGTATTAACTGGGGATCTCTCCACCACTGGCTCTTAATTATATGGTCGCACATCTAGACCAAACTGGAGTGATGAGACAGCCTTGTATGATGGGGCAGCCTTGTTACAGGACCCCAGCAGGGAAGGCTGTTTCTGCAGATCTCTTTGTAGAAGCTGAACTTGAAGAATACATATATTCAGTGGGGCTTTTTCCTCAAAGAGGACCCTCATAGAGGCTTTTGGGATCATAGCTGGGGTGCCTTGATGGAGCGGAAGAGAATCACCCACATCCACAAAGCCTGAAAAATGACTTTTCTCTCTTGACACACAGAAAGGAGCGTTCCCCCAAGAGGGGCATACTAAACAGGTGCCAGACCCAATGGGACTAGGTGGACAGCTGGCCTCTGCCTGTGGGTCACTGAGACCAGGCACTCAGTCACACCCCAGTCCACGTTCTCCTTCTCTTTTTGGCCCCTGCAGCTGTGGGGTTCGTGAGCGAAGATGAGTACTTGGAGATCACGGGGATCACCAGGGAGCAGTCAGGGGAATACGAGTGCAGCGCAACCAATGACGTGGCAACACCTGTCGTCCGGAGGGTAAAAGTCACCGTAAACTGTAAGTAACCCCAGGGTGGTTTTAGGCTGCAGTGCATGGGAGGCTCCAAGTGCAGGAGGTTAGCCCAGGCAGGGCAGAGGGTGGAGAGACCAGCCCGATGCTGTGGAGACAGGAACTACTCATTGCCCGCTGTTGCACACACCTTCTCCGTGTGTGCTACTGTCCAAGGTTAAGGTGCAGGCACAAACAGGAGAGAAGGTGGTGAGGGGTGGGTGAGTCTACTGTAAAGAGGGCCTAGATTTGGGGTGGAGAAGGTTGGTGTGTCTTGTAGGCGGCCTTGTGTGTACATGGGGCACGAGGCTGGAAGGGGAGTCTGGGTCTTCTTGGCGGACACGGGTTTTGCCATTAGCTTGGTTCTTGAATTCCATTTTGTTCACCTCCCTCCTCCCCAGCTCTTCTTGTGCACTTGGTTGTTGCAGCCAACTGTGCTGACGATCCTTGGAGAAATGTGAACAGGAAAGTGAGCAGTAAATAGGGGGCGCAGGGTGCAGAAATTTTCCAGCTAAGAGAGCAATGGAGGAAATCTAGCCCCTAACACCCAACTTCTTTGCACACACACTCAGGCATGTGCACTCAGACACACACAAAACCAGGCCGTACTCCATATGCAGGCCCACGTGAATATATGCCCTTGGAAAAAAGCATGAGACATGGGGGCGTCTACCTGCTCACCCGTGCACATGTGCAAACATGCTCACACGCAGTGATGTGCTCACACCACAGTGCAGGGTAGTTACCCGTAGAGAGAAATAGAAGCTCCAATAAGCTTGTGCTGCTAGGTGAATTGGGCAGGCAGGCAGAAGGGCCCATGCTGGGCAGAGGCACAGAGAGGGCTGGGGTCCTGCCCTTCCCATCTGTCTGAGCACGGGGAGTAAAGTTCCTTGCAGGCCTGTAAAACAGAGCTTGAGTGGCAGGAACTGGGCACTGGCTTGGAGAACCAGCCTCCCATTGGTTTGGGGGAAGGCAGTTGGCACAGGGAGCTTTTGCCTCTAGCTGCTTCCTTTGGCTCCGACTGCAAGGCCGGGGCAGAGAAGGGCTTGCAGAGGAAAGGCAGGAAGGAGGGAGGGTCTTCCAAGACTAACTCGAGCACTCTCCTGTCCCCACAGACCCGCCGTATATCTCCAACGCCAAGAGCACAGGGGTGCCCGTGGGGCAGAAGGGCATTCTCCAGTGTGAGGCCTCAGCCGTGCCCTCTGCAGAATTCCAGTGGTACAAAGACGACAAAAGGTAAATCCCTTAGCCCGGGTCTGGCGGGGGGGAACACCCCCGGATCTCCCCAAGCAGCGTCCTTGAATCCCAACTCGGCACCTTCCCTAGCAGAGAAACATCCCCTCCCACAAGCCGCAGGGGATTTGCATGGGTCACTTCCTGGGCTGGCTGCTGCGTGCACTCCACTCGGCGTTAACAAAGCCGAACTTGTTAAGTCTGCACTGGGGCCGCAGAGCCTGTTAGCGCCGGTTTTAGAAAAAGAGGGGAGAAAGTGGGATCAGCGACCCAATTTAGCTCTGCCTTTGTGGCAGCCCTGCGCTTTCACGGCAGGAAAAAGGAAGCAGGAGCAGGGTGGGAGACCCTGCCATTGTAATAACATTGTAAGAGGCACTGGGATAGTTATGAAGAGCCTTGCTGTAAAAAAAAAAAAAAAA